CAGCCTGCATCAGCATTGTGTGTAACAGCATTGGACCAAAGAGAAGACCAATAAGTTGTGAGTTCTTCTGTTGGTGTGCCACTGTGCTGTGTATCGGTGTTTGTTTTGGTACTGATTTGTCTGTAGAAAAGTTTATCATTGTTTGTGAATAATTTATTTTGTTGTTTTCGTAGTGTACATGTTTGTATCATTTGAGTCTACGTGCTTTGGCTGCAAGTTTTTGTTTTAGTGTATCGATGTATTCTGTAATGTGTGTGTTGTGATTTTCTTGAAAATGTTTTTGAATATAGTAGCCATTTTAATAGCCATTGAAATAGTAGCCATTTTAATTAAAATTGTATTTCATAAAATAAATCTTAAAAATCTAATTAAAAATAATATAAATATAACTAAAATTTATATGTGATTTTACAAATGAACTATAGAAACTTAATTATTTAATTATTTAATAATTAAATAATTTAATAAAATAATACACATTGCAACTGTAATATGTAAATATTACAGAAATAGCTAAATAAAAACTCATGCCAAAATTGTATAGTCTCTTAATAACTAGCACTGAGTTCAGCATTAACACAAGTTTTCTTATCTTGTAAGTACTTTCAATGAGTATAAGTTCATCGTCTTCAGGCAAAAAAGAACAATTTAAAGAAATAGAACATGCAGAGTGTTCCAAGTAGAAAACGGAAGACATTTTCTTGGCAGTTTTTAAATTTAACATTCAGTAATTCCATTGGTAATGTGCAACAAGCTTTTGCAGGCATCTGAAAGTTCTTAAATCCACACGACTGGCAGTGCATGCGTTGAAGAGCAATCATGCTAATTTTGCGACTCTTGGCGCGTTTGGTTGTTTAGACACCGGTATAAAGTAACCCATATTTCGGGCAAGTCGAGGGTGGGGACATTGCATGCATCTGTGGTCATTGTGAGGAATTCTTCCCAAATAAATGTAATCTTTCTGTTATTACAGCACTTGAGCAATGCTGTTTTTGACCATAGCGGGTTATAGCTCTGCTGTAGAACTTTTCTGGCAAGCTCTGTGGTTTGTCTTCCTTTGTTTATATCCTCCTGATGTTCTGCGATACGGCAAGCGATCATTCTTGTTGTTGCCCTTATATATCTCCGTGACCTCTCCATATTGTATGTTCAACTGGGCAAAGTACAAAGTATAATATCGGTCTCCACGCAGAAGGTTAAAAAGAGGTTGAACAAAAAGCTCCAGTGGCTACTCAATTCATCATGTGCGCAAAAAACGGCAGCAGTAACCACTCCATATTATAACTATACAGAATAAAATGTGCCTGTAATTGTGCATAACACACTGAAACAAGGTTCCAAGTATATCTCCCCTCCTACAAGCTCAATTTCAACCAGTTAGTCTCAGTCACCTTAGTAGTTTTAAAATTCTGCCAGACCCATGTACCAGCAAATGGAGTTAGAAGTCATCACAAAACTTGCTACAACAAAGCAAATCTCTGGTGCACCAAAAAGTCACAAAAA